ATATATATATATAATATATATATATATATATTATATATATATTATATATATATATATACACCTCATGTCCATTGTGCTCAGAGTAACAACGGTTATTATAATGCTTTTTATTAGCTTGCTGCTAAAATAGACTCCATGCTCTTCTCTCAGTGACCTGATGAACCAGCAGATGGTCAAAGACCAAGAACCACTAGAACCACCACATATATTCTGTGGACCCTGAAAATGATTTTAGTTCATGAAATCAGTCATAGTTCAAATGTTTGTATTATTGATCAGCTGCAGGAGATGAAGTATAATGTATCAGATTTATTACGTTTATATCCCCCTTAAATAAACCACCAGGTCCAAGCCTGATCCGGGTCAGCCTCGGTCTGGTTCTGACGGGTCGGTGATTGACAGGCTGCAGCATCCTCCCTCACCGGCCCCGTTTCCCCGTTCTCCCGGCTCGGTTCGGGTTGGACCTACCGCGGCTCTGACGCTGCTCTTCTTGTTCTGGAACGCCATCGTGATCAATCTGCGATCGGCTGATTGATTCGCTCACACACACTCACAGCCTGCTTTGTTGCTGTCGCTGATGACGTCACGCTCCCGACAATACACACCCGGCTTCCGGTGTAAAGCATCAAAATAAAGTCCGCAGACGAACATTATCTTTATGTTAAGGTACAATATTTTTTTCCTAAGGGGATGGATGTAATTAAAGTTAAAATACACGCAGTGGTCGATGAGATTAAAGTACGAATAACACACTGGAAATATAAAAATAATACTTGATTATAATCAGACAAATGTTGTAAAGTAATCAAAGTACTCACCGCAGTAAAACGGCCCGTTATATGATCATAAATAATAATATATATGTGTAAAGTATGATTCATTTTAAACATCTCACTGGATGTTTTATAATGGTGTGAACTGCACATACTTTTATTTTGACAAGTGATTCCGGAAATATTTCCGGGAGGGGGGGGACATAATGAGACAACTAAAAGCTGCTTCCTCATTTTATTGATGAAATGATTGACGTCATTAATTATGAATTGATTATTTTGTCTTTAAAGCACAAATGTGTTTAAATTCAACTGATTTCAATAAACGTGACACTGTACAAATACCTCAACACATAATAAATAATGTGTATTGTTCTTTTATTTATGAATAATCTTTATTTATCTGTTTTTAATATTTATATATCACTTGAATCCTGTGTGATCAGCTTTAAATCACTGTTAACTGATGATAACAAGTTAAATTTGTTTATAACATTGTTTTCAAAAAGACATTAGTCAGGTTAAATTATTTCAACACTAAATCTGAACAATAAATACTTTCAAATATTTGAATCCTTGTTTTGAAACGACTTAAATATCTAGAAATCATTCACAAAGTTTTAGCATTCTGAATTAAAATGTGTTATGAATATCGTCTCTTTAACCTCTCTCTTGCCGTAGTTTTCCCGGGTGTGTCCAGAGGGAAACACCACTGTCTGTCCTCCTCTTCCTCCTCCTACTCCTCCTCGTCCATCAGGCTCCTGGGTTTGGGTTCGAGCGGCTCGGCGACGCTGCGTCTGCGGACTGAACGACTCGAAGTCCAGAGTTTTGTTCTCGAAAGCTCCTTCGACGCTACAGAACATCCCTCCATACTTCATCCGAGAACGAGGAGAGTCTGAACCCAGCCGGGAGAGGAGAGAGGAGCAGTCGTCGTCCTGGGAACACCTCCTCGTAGACATCATGGAGAGATCTGATCTGAGACGAGACAAGGAGAGGAAGAAGAGGACTGGAGGGGGAGGAGGAGGTCAAGGAGGAGGAGGAGGCCAAGGAGGAGGGAGTAACTGTGATCTCAAACTGAGACTGAGAGGAACTGATCAGAGGGAGGAAGAAGAGGAGAAACAAGAGAGAAAATGAGTCCTGGTGAAAGAGGATGAGGTTTGAATCAGATTCTCATGAGAGGTTGTTGGTTTGAATCCTTGTTGAGCCTCAGGAACTCCTCTCCTATTTGTGTTTCCAGCAGAAACAGGAACAAACAGCAGCAAATACAGAAATATCATCGTTTTCACCTTCCTGAGTCATCATAGAGGTCCGACGGGACGACTTCACCAAGCTTTTATATCTAATCGTCACAAACATGTTACTGCAGGACGCTGATCGATCACCTGTTAGCTGGTATTGGTTATTTATCAAGTGAAGAGCATCCTGGTGTTCAGGGTGAACACTGACATCATCATGCGATGTCAGAGCTCTGAAGCTTTCAGAGACTTTAACTATTGGACTTTATAGACTTGATGCTCACAGGTCAGTGCTCATTACTGCTGATCTCTGAAGACGCCGAGGTCTGAACTGGATATCTCTGACTGTCACATTCACTTAATCTCATATCTCTCTCTCTCTCTCTCTCTCTCTCTCTCACAGACACGCACACTCACTCTCACACACACACACACACACACACACACACACACACACACACACACACACACACACACACACACAAACTCAGTGGACCATAACAAAGTCTGTAATTTTATGTTAACATGAAGCTCTCATGTTCCTGTCTGACAGAATCTCAAAGGCACAGTGAGACAGTATTTCAATCAGGAGACAAGTGAATGAAGAAAATATAATAGTTTACTAAAACAGATGATGTAAGATAATTAAGTCTTTGTTTGGTCAGACTTTGTTTCTCAAGTCAAATCTTGAAGACAGACTGTCCGTGTTGTTATTCGTCAGTAATCAGACTGGATTTATCACCAAACATGTGCATGTGTTGCTGTGGTAATGACTCAGGTGTCAATAACTACCCAACTTTCCAATGCAGAAACATTTGCCCTTCAAACAATCGCGCTGTCAAGTCGTGGTGCAGAACTCCGTAGCTGAGTTTGGATCTGATTTTCATTGCGGGGGAAGCAGCCGGACATTAACGTGCCAGCAGACAATTTATTTTGGCATCTGTCAAAGGACTGTTCTCAATACTAATAGCGTTAGTATCGGCAAGTCTCTGGTAGTAAATCTGCTCTCCAGCTCTCCACTGACCTCTCTTAGCTATGCACCAGTGGGATCACGTCTCTGTTGCCGTGTTCCAGTGGATCCTGTCTCTGTGGCCTTGTTCCTGTGGATCCTGTCTCTGTGGCCTTGTTCCTGTGGGATCCTGTCTCTGTGTTTGTGTTCCAGTGGGATCCTGTCTCTGTGGCCTTGTTCCAGTGGGATCATGTCTCTGTGGCCGTGTTCCAGTGTGATCCTGTCTCTGTGGCCTTGTTCCAGCGTGATCCTTTCTCTGAGGCCTTGTTCCAGTGGGATCCTGTCTCTGTGGCCGTGTTCCTGTGGGTCCTGTCTCTGTGGCCGTGTTCCTGTGGGATCACGTCTCCGTGGCCGTGTTCCAGTGGGATCCTGTCTCTTTGGCCATGTTCTGGTGGGATCCTGTCTCTTTGGCCGTGTTCCAGGGGGATCCTGTCTCTGTGGCGCCTCTAGAGGGTTCCGTTACCATCTTCGGTAGTGTCCACAGGGGTTTTATCTTAATCCTCCTGAGGGATGCAGCCTCCACCGACGATTTCTCCTGAGGAGCTCAACCTGTCTGGTTGTCTCCCGACCTGCTCCGTCCATTAGCCTCTGGAGAGGCTAAACCTGATGCCCAGTCCTCAGGTCGTCCGCTTGACATTCGCTTCTCCACTTTGCCCTGAATGTTTGTATCCTTCCTGTCTGTGCTGCTTCATCAACCACAGAAATATATACATATATATTGTTAGAAAAAAGAGGAAACAATCTGAAACTGAAGGACAATTTGTGAAACACTAATTTTTAACAACAAAACACAAACACAGTTTTGTCTTCAGTCTCATTTCCACCATTTTAATCCATAATCACATCAAACTGACAACTGTTTGGATGTTCAATGAGTTCACTGTCACAGCAGAGATAGAAAAATATCATCTGAAATAATAGAAATAAAAGAGTAGATCCAGTTTTTAAAAGAACGGATTCATCGTGTTGACTCTGCTCTGAACCCCATTCAGTTGAGGGAAGATACTTGACATTATAAATAACTCATGTTCTGTTTTTAAAAGTTAAGAATAAAAGCTAAAGGGATTTAATATTGAACCGACAAATTGGTGGAGAGTGAAACTCAAAACCCTGATATGCAATCAAAGCTTAGAAAGAGCATTTTAACTGAAAAAGAAAACAATCTGATATGACATATTTCATATATATCATATTGTTTTCTTTTTCATATATATATACATATACATATATACATATATATATACACATATATATATACATATATACATATATACATAAATATATATATACATATACATATATACATATATATATATACATATACATATATACATATATACATAAATATATACATATATACATATATACATATATATATATACATATACATATATACATATATATATATACATATACATATATACATATATATATACATATATATATATACATACATATATACATATATATACATACATATATATATACATATATATACATACATATATATATACATACATATATACATACATATATATATACATACATATATATATACATATATATATACATATACATATATATATACATATACATATATATACATATATATACATATATATACACATATACATATATATACATATATACATACATATATATACATATATACATACATATATATATATATATATACATATATATACATATATACATACATATATATATATACATATATATATATATATATACATTACATATACATATATTTGTTGAATCATGAAATTATCATTCATTATTCAAGGGATCTTTAAAAAACTTTCACTTTCAGTTTGAACTCATAGTTAATGTGTGAAATCTCACCACTTTATAATGTGGAGCAGTCTGGGCAAAATCTAAACTCTGCAGAGTGATGACATTTCTGACATTAAAACCTGTTTCAGACTTTTTTGTTTCTTCAGATCAGAACATGGTTTTCCTAGCTCTGTGTTCCTGTTGTTCAGTTGTTGCAGCTCTAGTAGACCTCCTGATGCCATGAAAAATTGTTTCCTACATCAGTTTTGGTCCCGGGATGACTCAAGGGGGCTGAAAAGTTACACATTGTAACCATAGATCCATGAGTGGAGCTGAAAGGTTCCATAATGTTAGTTGACTCTCCAGTCTGCATGTGGATCAGACAATCAGGAAAAAGTTAAACTCAACTGAACCCATATTTTAGAGCAGAATGTTTGTAATGTTTCATAGTGTGTTTCTACAGTGATTCTACTGTGTGAATTCATCAAGGTAGCTTAGCAACCATTTTACTGAGCATCTATGGTTGTTCATCACGCTTTGCATCTGTCCCTGAAGCTTCCTTCACCCACAAACAGGTTAGTTGACTGTAACTGACCAAATCAACTACCTTAACACTGAAGTCACCTGTTAGAATTCAGCTAAGTTAGCTGGCAATATTTACAAGCTTAGCTAACGCTGTATGACGTCTAGCTAGCTGAGCTAACATTGCATGAATTCTAGTTGGGTGATCTAACACTGTATGAAGTCAGGCACCACTTTAGTCCAGCGGGCCTCGTGAGGCCAGAATGTGTTTGTCAGCTGCATATCAGGTTTCTAAACCAGAAGTTCTCAGTAAACAGTAGCTAACAGTAAGCTACAAAGCATATTGCCGGTTTTGGTTTTCACTTGTCTGAAACGTCAATCTGTAGCCATGGAAACCATCAATGTCTTCGTCTTTGAGGTGTGACTGTGTTCCAGAGTCAGCTAACAGCTGGGTCCCGCTCTGATTGGCTGACAGCAGCCAGAAGCAGGTCAGTGGGGCAGTGAAGCCAACATACCCGAGTCTGTAAGCTGCTGGTTCATACCGTGAATCCTTCTGAATCCTCAGGTTGCTTGGTCTGATCAAGACTGAGCTGACCCTGCTGAGTTTTCAGCTGCTGGACTCTGGAGGTGTGCAGACACTAAAACACAGACTGGAACATTAAAACCTTTAAGTTGATGTGATCCAATGGTATGTATGTTAATTAAAACAGTCATTGACAGCTGTTGAGCTAAAACAAAGTGATAGGAAACACTGTAAACTTGGGGTACACTGTACACCTGGGCTAAACCCTATAGACCTGGTGTAGATTCTGTATACCTGGGCTAAACCCTGTAGACCTGGGTTACATTCTGTACACTCGGGCTAAACTCTATAGACCTGGGGTACACTATGTATACCTGGGCTAAACTCTGTAGACCTGGGGTATATTCTGTATACCTGGACTAAACCCTGTAGACCTGAGGTATGTTCTATATATTTGGGGTGAATCTTTGAGACCTGGGGTACACTCTGTAAGCCTGGGAAAATCCTGTTCACCTGGTATAAAACCTGTACACCTGGGTTGAACTCTGTCCACCTGGGGTATATGTTGGGTGTACCTGTGTACCTTTATTACACCCGGTATACCTTTTTTACACCTGATATACCTGTATATCTTTAGTTCACATTCTATATCTTCAGTGCACTCTGTATACCTGTGGTATACCTGGTGTACACTCGGTATACATGGGATACACTGTATACACAGAGTGGGGCACACCTGGGGTAAATCCCTATACACCTGGAGTAAATTCTGTATACCTTCAGTACACCTTGTATACGTTCAGTAGACCTTCAATACGCTCTGTATGCATTCAGTATGGTATGTATACTTGGAGTAACCTCTGTACACCTTAAGTACATCCTGTATACCTCGAGTAAAGTCTGTATACCTTCAGTACAGTACAGTACTTTAACTCACCCTTTCATACACCATGCAAGGTGTCTTGCAGAAGGATACATCGACTATTGGAGCGAACCGCCGATCCTCTGATTGAAGATAGACCCGCTCTTTCACTGAGCCAGTCTCCCCAGTACTCTCTGTATACCTTCAGTACATCCTGTGTACCTGGAGTAACCTCTGTATACCTTCAGTACATCCTGTGTACCTGGGGTAGACTTTATTGCCCTGTAGTTACCCGTTGCCCAGCGTTTAAATGTGTTGCCCCTGCAGAAAGCCCAACAGTAAACCATGTTGCTGTTTGACTCACCAGCTGCTGTTAGGACCAGAGGATGAAAGCCAAAGAGAAGAATAGAAACAGAAATAGAAACTGGAAGAAAAAGAAGTGGAGAGTCAGTGGAAAGTCACAGAAAGCAGATTTACATCCTGTCAGCTTTTACAGTGTACATGTGTTGCCAAGGTGATGGAATGAGCTGTTGCTAACTGTACATGTACTTGTCTCCATCAAAAACAAGAATTCATTGTGTTTCTATTAGCCCGTACCTTCTCTTCCAGCTCTTTAATCTGTCGTTTCTGTGCTTCTATGCATTCCTCCAGCTCCTTGTTCCGCTGTCAAACACAAACCTCATGTCAAAAATGCACAAAACAAACAGTTAAATAGTAACTGTTGTTTAAAAGTGTACCAGTTGTTTAACTGCTTGCTGGTTGTAGGTTTAAGAGTTTCTGTTTTATGATTGGTTTGCAATGTTGCAACACACATCCTCCAAAACACAGTTTCTTACAATAGACACACACGATCAAGAGGCTTGTCGAACGAAACACCCACACAAATGAACAGACATACACACTAAGTAGCTTTAGTAATACAAATAGACCTCAGGTAAGCTCAATTTTTTGGTTTACCATTGCACTGTAATTTTTCTGAAATTATTTGTATTTCAGTGAGTTCACAGTAATAGTTTGCAATGATAACTCTACTGTAATTCTACTTTTCTTTGTGTATTTTGTTTTGTAAAACAAAATACTTCAATGGCAACTCAATTAAATTAAGTTTCTGAAGCCTTTCTACTTTTATATTCATTGAAATGTGAGTTAATGGACTGGAACGTCTTCACTGGTCTGTATGACTAAAATAAAAAGGGATACAAAGTACTAAAGAAAGCAGAGTACATCAGTGTGTTGTTGCTACTAAATTGAAATGGTGCTTGTGTCTCCAATTTAGTTGGAAAAAAGACAGTTTGAAAACAGATTGTTTGGTTTTGATTATAGAGCTTCATTTTGACATAGAAGTGAAATTGTAGGACCTTTATTATTCAGTTTATACATTAATGATTTGCCGGGTGTCTGCGATGGGTGTGACTTTCAAATATACACGCTGACGATACATTGATTCATGTGCACGCAAAGAACAAAGAACAAGTTGCACTCAAACTCACGTCCACAATGACAAATGTAACTAAATGGCTTGCAGATTCCTGCCTTCACCTGAATGTTAAAAAGACTGTTTGTCTGTTCTTCACAAAGAGGGCTTGCAAAGTGTCACCGGAGCTAGATGTTTATGTTGCTGGTGAGAGGCTACATTGCTGGTGAGAGGCTACAGGTAGTGTCAGATTTTAAATATTTAGGAATTTTTATTGATTCTAATCCAGTGGCGTGCCGTGCATTCTATACCTGGGCCTTCACTGCTGTCCTGCAGCTGAAACACAGCTACGGTTATTATTTGTTTCGTGCAAAAATGAAGCCAACACCTATAGATAGAGTGCGTCTCCTCTCTGCTCTGACTGCAGCTGGGACTGCTGCACCAGGCTTCTGTGAGAGTACCCGCCTGTGTGTGCTTTGGGGCGGCGGTGGAGGGGCTCACGGCAGCACCCGCTGCTCGTTCACAAGAGTGCAGAACGTACTTGCTTTAACGTCAGAAAACTCTCAAATAACACCAGAACAAGTCGCTAGATTTGTCGCTAGTAGCTTTTGACAAAAACAGTCGCCATGAGGGTTTGGAAAGTCGCCAGATTTAGCGAGAACGTCGCCAAGTTGCCAACACTGGCACCGGCTAAATATGTCCCCAGAGCAACATTGGACGTAACAATGGTTCCTATCACATATTAAACCAAACAAAAATCCATCTTTATAAAAGTTATACAAATAATAATATATAAACAAGCATCTTAAAGCTACTGCAGATGTACAAACAAAAGCAGTTGACTTACCAGAGATGCTGTTCACTATTTAAAGACAAAGTCCATCCTCCTTTCTTTGTTAATAAAGAGTTTAATCTCATGGTTGTTAAGTACATCCGTGTGTTTTAGTTCCAGTAAGAAGTCCTTCTCGATTCCTGGACGCCAGTGAAGACAGTCGAGCCTCCCCAGTTGTATTTCTTGAATACGTTTTAATGCGTTTGAGGCTGAAAATGTCCGCTCGACAGAGGCAGCAGATATTGGGATTGTCACCGCCCGACATGTCAGGCTAGCCCACTGACCAATCACGTATGGCTAGGCCAGCTAGCAGGCTCTGACACGTCAAAGAATACGCCCAACATGTCAAACTAAAGATCTGATTGGTTCAACACTGTGGTGGCCTGTTCTTGGTTCCTCTTCCTATGTACTGAGCCACGTTACAGGGCTCTGTTTCTGACTCACACATTAAACCGTCCAAATAATAACTGTTGCAGACATTGATTCCTTTGCCGTCGCTTGATTGATTTATTTTCTCTTTCGACAAAGTTAACAGCAAAACATTATCAGTTTAATGTGAGGTCAAAGACTGTTCCGATGCCCTGTTCTGCACAAAGGAAAAACCAACTCGAGACTCAGTCCCACCCCTTCCTCTTATACCAGCTGATCCTCATCTGATTAATCACAAAAGTTCCAAAAGAAAAACAATTATACAGAATGCAAAATTTAACCTTTGTTCATAAATTAAAGGAATGTGTTTAGGTCATACAAATATATTAGCAAAATGAGAAATTATGATTTGTAATCAAAAAGATATGGCTCTAACATTCCAGCCCCTAATTGCTTCGAATACAGCAATTGCATCAATTAATAAATAGAGTCAATATTCAAAACACAAATATATTCCATTTTTATTTTATTTTCCTTTTTTTTTTTTTCTTGTCGTCCAGAGTCCATAGATAGATAAAGTTCATCTTTAAGTTCATAACTTCTCCAAACTACTGTCCAGCACCAGTTACTCTCCAGCTTCAAGGAGCAGACAGAGTTTGTTGATGGGTCTCTGTATAACACTTGTTCTGGTTTTAACTAGGACACTGCGGACTAGTCCTTTACTTCCTTGCATGGTCTTTAGAATCCGCACTAGCACCCAGGAGTTTCTAGGAGCCCAATCATCCACAATAACAATGAGGTCTCCAGGTAGAAAGTTCCTTTTGATTTCATTCCACTTATTTCGCTGTTGCATGATTGGAAGGTATTCCCTGAACCATCTTTTCCAGAAAAGGTCAGCCAGATATTGTACCTGTCTCCATCTCCTTCTAGAGTACAGGTCCTCTTTCTTGAATATTCCTGAAGGCATGACGGGGTTTGTTTTGAGTAGAAGCAAATAATTAGGCGTTACAGGTTCCACATCATTCAAGTCATTTGTTATTGTTGTGATTGGTCTATCATTCATTATAGCTTCCACCTAACATAAGGCTGTCTGCAAGGCCTCATCATCCAGAACTTGTTCTTTCACCACAGAGTACAGAATTTTCTTTAGTGACTTAATTAGTCTCTCCCATACACCTCCGTGGTGAGCACCTGCTGCTGGGTTAAATATCCACTCTATTCCTTCTTGGAGTAGATTTCTTTGGATTTCGTCATGATTTAGTTATTTTAATGATCGTTCCAGCTCCCTTTGTGCACCAACAAAATTTGTACCTTGATCTGATCTGATGGTTTTTACGGTACCTCTGCGACATAGAAATCTGCATATTGCATTGATGCAGGAGTTAGTGTCCAAACTACTAGCCACCTCAAGATGGATTGCTCGGCTAGTAAGGCATGTAAAGATTACCCCCCCACCGTTTTACATTGGTCCGACCTCGCTTAATCTCAAAAGGTCCAAAATAGTCCATGCCAACTGAAGTGAAAGGTGGCAGATCCTGTGGAAGATCTGCCATTTTTTGCTCTCCTACTTTAGACTGCATTCCTCTGCAGAAAACGCAGTTTCTGATGATCTTTCTTGCTGAAGAATTTGCAGAGGACATCCAGTATTTCTGTCCTTGTTTTGAGAGCATATGATTCCTTCCAGAATGACCAACTTGGGTGTGTATGTATCTTAGAATGACCTCGGATATGTGAGATTTTTTGGGTAAGATTATGGGATTCTTAGCGCTTACTGGCATAGCTGATCTGTTAATCCTTCCCCCCACTCTCAGGACACCTTCTTCTAGGATGGGATCCATTTTTAATATAGGGCTCTCTTTTCGGCAGTGTTTTCCCTTTTCCAGGAGGGAAATTTCCAGTGCAAAATGTTGCTGTTGCTCAAATGCATATATGGCCTTTTCAGCATTTTTCACATCTTTCACCGTCAAATCTGAACTGAATGGCACCTTTAGTTTCATGGCACGTTCCTTCAGTGATTTATCATTACTCAGCAGCAATCCAGTCTTTGTCATCTTTGTTCTTTGAGTGATCTCCAAGAGCAATCTTTTCAACCTCAATATCCAAGCTACAGCTTTTTTCAGGCTGTTCCAGTCTGAGTAGTACTCAATCAACTTACTGGTGGGACTTTTTCCCTCAATGCTCGTTGTGTTCACGATCACATCCCTTTTCACTTTGGGATCATCCGACAAAAGATAACTTTGTGACATTTTGTCTGGGTCCTTAGGCCACTGAGATTCCACCTTTAACAGGAAATGTAGCCTTCTTCTAGACTTCATGAATGCTTCAATGTTTAATCCCCATGAAGCATCATCTGCAGGGTTGCTTTTGGAGTCCACATACCTCCACTGAGTCTCTCTTGACAAGTCATGAATAACAGCAATCCTATTGGCCACAAATGTGTGGAATCTCTTGGTCTTATTGCGGATGTATTTAAGTACGGGCTGGCTGTCTGTCCAAAGAATGGACTCTTGCAGGTTCAGTTGTAACTCTGAGTGTAACATCCGATCAATTCGTACAGCTAAAGTGGCCGCTGTGAGCTTGAGTCTGGGGATGGTCATTTTTTTAAGAGGGGTTACTCTGGACTTTCCCATCACTAAAGCAATATGAACTCCCCCCAAACTGTTGACACATCTGAGATAACTGGCAGTTCCATAACCTTGCTCACTGGCGTCACTAAAATGTTGTAACTGTGTTGATTCTACCTGGCCAAAATCTTCAGGTTTCAAACATCTTTTGACCTGAAAATGTTTTAGTTGATCTAGCTCCGTCAGCCATTTTTCATATGGTTTGGAGAAATCCTTAGGAATTGTTAGATCCCATCCACACTTTGCCCGGCAAAGATCTTGGAGAATTTGTTTCGCCTTAAGTACAAAAGGTGCAGCAAGACGTAATGGATCATATACTGAACTGACAGTAGAAAGTACAGCACGCCTGGTGAGAGATCTGGTTTTGATTGCTATCTGGAATCCAAACGTATCCTCTTCAATATTCCAGTACATCCCAAGAGCCCTCTCCACAGGCAGCTTCTCTCAGTCAAGGTCCAGTTCTTTAATCTGTTTGGCTTTGTGTTTTTCTGGAACAGCAGCCAAGACAGCACGGCTATTGCTAACCCATTTTCTTAGTTTGAATCCTCCTTTAGCACACAGCTCACTGAGATTCTTCATGAGGTTAATAGCTTGCTTTTCTGTTGCCAAAGATTTAAGGCAGTCATCAACATAAACGTTTGATTTAATGGTGTCAACTGCCATTGCATCGCATTTGTCCTTATTATCTTCTGCTGTTCTTTGGAGAGCATAATTGGAGCAACTTGGTGAGGAGATGGCACCGAACAAATGAACTTTCATTCGGTATTGCTCTAAAGGTTGGCTTGTGTCTCCGTCTGGCCACCACAGAAATCTTAGCAAGTTTGAATCCTTTTCGTAAACACGAACTTGGTGGAAGATCCCCTCGATATCTGCCATGACAGCAAACTTCTCCTGGCAGAACCTCAGCAGAACACCAAGAAGTGAGTTGGCTAAGTGAGGTCCTGGTAAGAGTTCATTGTTGAGTGATGTTCCTTTGTATGAGGATGTACAATCAAACACCACTCTGATTGTCTTTTTACGTTTGTGGTACACCCCATGGTGGGGTATATACCACACCTTGCCATCATTTTGATGCAGGTCCTTTGCTGGTACCTTCTCTTCGTAGCCCTTGTTAATTACATCCATCATGAAATCCTTGTATTCTTCTTCATAAACAGCATCTTTATTGAATTTATTAGCCAGGTAATGCGCTCGCTGCTCTGCTATATGGTAATTGTTGGGCATGCTAACATCACTATTACAAAGTGGCAAAGGTAAATAATAGTGATCATCTTTTATTGAAGTGGCACTTGATACCAGATTCATGAAAATGCGGTCTTCCACTGACATTTGAGGTTTCCCCTCATATTCTCTCTCTGGGAAATCGTGGTGGTACTAATTTACTAGAAAGGTTTCTAGCTGTTCAATCGAAATGTGGTTTACTGATGCCACAGGCCTTCCAAATTTATCCACAGCTGAAGACGAGTTGAGTGGTCCATTTACCACCCATCCTAAGAGCGTCCTTTCAGTGTAGGGACCATTGCCTTGGCTATTTATGATTTGCCAGGGCTCCATTGCCCTTGGGACATCTACTCCAATTAGGAGTTCCACTTCCGCATCAACTTCTTGCAGCTTTATCTCCTTCAAGTAAGGCCACCTGCCGAGGTCATTTTTAGAGAAAATGTTTTCTTTTGTCACTGGTATCTTTGTTTGAGTGTATGTTCTTTGAAGCTCAATGAAGTTATTCCCATCCAAATCACCCACTTGTAGTCCATTTATTTCAAAACTACTCACTGGTTTCCTTTGACCCATTGTTTGCAGAAGAACCTTAGCTTTCCTTTCTGTTGCATTGAGCTGTCTCATTAGGTTCTCCGTACAAAATGTTGCTGCGCTGCCAGGGTCAAGAAATGCATAGGTTAGTATTGTTTTGCCGCCTTTGGAAGCCTTTACTTGTACTGGTACTATTGCCAGCTTGGTACTATTTTCCAGCCCCGATATCTTCCTCTTCCAATGAGACAAGAGTTCCACTGACCGATCCTTTTTTCTGATTGGTCCTTTTCATATTTGGTTCATTATTTGCGGGTCTGTCAATGTGTAGTATACTAGGGTGAATTCCTTGACAGTATTGGCATCTCATCCTCCTTTTACAAGTTTTGCTCATATGTCCTCTAGTTAGACAACCAAAGCAGATGCCATTTTCTTTCAGCAGTTGCACCTTAACATCCCGTGGCTGGACCGTTAACATTTCACATTTATTCAATGGATGTTTGCCTGTGTTGCAAATGGAACAGTGAACATTTTGCACATTGATATCCAGGTGTTTAGGTTGTTCTGCAACATTACTCTTACTAGTTAAGAGTAAATGAAGATGGCACACAGCTCAAATTGAAAAGTTTCAGGTTCGCCTGAAAAAAAAGCACCGAAAGCATGATTATCTCTTTTGAATGATGCTAACGAAAGTTTAAACCTCTCCCAAATCACAGTACAACATCTCTGCAAATTTTGACTTTGACAAAGTGAAGCAGAACAAAATTAGAGAGGTTTTAGTACAGAGAGGTCAGGCGAGGTCAACCAAATAGTAATTTTGGAACCAGCTGTTCCATTGTAATTTTATATACTATATAACTATATATTTCACTTGTTTTATCACTAATAGTGTTCAATACATCCAAATACAGCAGTTTGGCATCATTTTGAGAGCCTGAATCCTCTCTCAGCCTGTTTCTGTCTCTGATCCATGGGACTTTCTCGTCTGAATCTGAATTCCAGTTTCCCTGTGTGTATGCAGACCTATCTCAGCCTATCATTGGTCGATTTCAGTCATTGAACCCTCCTTCGACGTGTCAGAGTCCATAGAATTGAGCCGGGGTAACGTGGTATTGATTGACAGAATCGTTAGCCAGTCAGAATCAAAACCGCGCCGTCCCTCGCGAAGCGTAAAATCCGATATGCCGAAAGTCAAATCCCTACCCCCAGCCCCCCTAAACTAGATTGACCCCCCTTTCTTCAAGGAAACAGTTCAATGACAAACAGGATATACCTCGAACACATATTTGAATCGAAATAACTGGGGATTTATCCGTTCTCTTCACGAAATCAGCTCACGGTGAGAAGCATATATGATTATTAGACGGTGAAGCGATTTGTTGTTCTGGTGCTTGTTTGCTCACAGATCTGTAATGGTTTCACGGAGAGAAATTCTGAAGATATCTCTGGAATCTTTGTTGAATTATCTTGCTTTCTGATGTATTGGTTGTGCGTGTTAGCCTTTAGCTTTGTGTTCGTAGCTTTGTCCGGAGTGCTCAGCTCACCGAGTCATGGCGAAAAAATACGTGATATTGTGGTACATCTTCTAGTTGATTATATTAGTTGTGTATAATTGTACTTGGAGTGTGTAAAAATGGCTTGCATGATATTGTTGCCAGACTTTTTTCTTTAACTGGGTATATAACATGTGTGTAACATTCATTATATTTGTTTCTGAAAAGTGCATTCTACGGACACTAAACTTTCTCGCTGGAACCCCAAATGGTCCTCGCTGTTTACCTGTTGTATAATTGTTTACCTGTTGTATAATTGTTTACCTGTTGTATAAATGTTTACCTGTTGTATAATGTTTACCTGTTGTTTAAAAGTTAACCTGTTGTATAATGTTTACCTGTTGTTTAAATGTTTACCTGTTTTTGTAATCTTTACCTGTTGTTTAATTGTTTACCTGTTGTATGAGTTGCAGTAATTCCATCCTCTCTCGGAGAATCTGGGCGTCTCTCTCTCTCAACTCACACATTACAGTTCGTTTCCATTGGTCCATTGCTCTCCTCAGCCCGTCCCTCTCTTCCTCCGTCAGTGTTTCGGACAGACGACCCTGTTCCATCTTTAATTCCTCCATCCTGAAATCCTCCTGCTGCTGCAGAGCCTCAAACAACATGGCCTCAAGCTCCAGGATCCTCTGTGTCAAGGACAAACATAAGAGTCAGTATTAATTGTGCTTTAATATAATTATCAGTTTCAAGATTAAAATAGAATGCAAACTAGTGAACGTGATGCTGTTGGGGGAAACCCTGTATACCTGAGTTAGTCTTTTTAGCCCTGCACTACACTTGGTTGTATTTTTTAAATTCAACACATATCTTTAAAAGAAAATCAAAAACAAACATTATTTCAGGGAGACACTGAGCTGGAAACACATACAAGTAACTCTAATAAAGTAACTTTGGACGATACTTTTAACTCTGGTCATTCTTTGTATTTCGTCTTTCCTCACTGTCCTGTGTCCAGGGACGGATTGGGGATTAAAAATGGCACTGGACTTTTTGACCCATGCTGACCAACCATTTACCTATGTGTTTATAAAGGATTTACAAATGATTTCTGAAAGGTTTACAAATCATCAACACATGCTTAATAAAGTATATGAAATGTGATGTGTGCAATAATAAACTGTTAATATATAGTTTACGAATGTAATCATAATGCAATTGTTATTGTCTCTTCTCAGCTATGAGACAATATGTCATTTTTCAATTATAAAATTACTTATCAAATAAATTAAAGCATAATTATAGTTATCATTATTATTATAATTATATTATTATATCACTATACTAATAAATAGTATACTTCATTATTTCACTGTTTTTTAACAGTAAAATAACTATAAACTGAAGTATAATTAAACATTCTATTCTATTAGTCATTTAGCAGATGCTTTTATCCAAAGTGACTTACAATTCAGAGTCTATCACATTTCTACACCGTAGGCACAGCTACGGGAGCAATTTTGGGGTTAAGTGTCTTGCTCAAGGACACATCGACATGCGACTAGCGGAGCCGGAGCCGGGGTTCGAACCGCCGACCCTCTGATTGAAAGATGGCCCTGCTATCCACTTAGCCCCTACATAAATTTACCATTTATTTAAGATGATTTTGAAGTGTTACCAAATATTCATGAGAATATCTTCAGTAAAATAGATGTCAAATAAAACGAGGGTGTTTGTTTTCTTCCTTCATCAATTCTTTGTAGAGGAGAAATTGTCTACATTGGTGGTTAGTCTCTCATTAGCTCAGATCAGAATCAGTTTTAATGGCCAAGTAAGTGTGTACACATACTTTGCAACACCACAATGACATCAGTACACAGTAAGACAGTAGTGCAATGGTGAAAAGGGTGCTGGAATAGATATGGAATGATTCATGTAATAGGTTGCTTTATATATGAGGTAGGTGGATATGGCAGTACATACAGCAATGATTTTATCTATGTAAAATTTATGATTTTGACATGTTAAAGAAAAGTGAGTACTTATACTATGATATATATATATATATATATATAATTTACTGGTAAGGGTTACTGAGTGATGTTAGTGTTCATCCTGCAGGAAGAAACTCTTCTTATGTCTGGTTATTTTGGCGTTCAGGGTTCTGTAGCCTCCAAGAGAGGAGAATCTGAAACAGGTTGTGTTCAGGTCTGAAGGTCTTAGTGATGTGTCCTGTTTTGTTGGACTGTGAAGGATCAGCTACTCTGGACCTCCTGAGTAGGTTTTTGTATTTGTTTTGGCTTTAGTGAATCATTTTTGTGCAACACCTTTAAAGCACCACACACCTCTGATCACCTGCTTGTTGTGTCTCTATTTCTGCTGCTACTGACCTTATGAGCCTGATCCATGGACTGCTTCCTGTAGTCCAACTCTTCATCCAGGTAGCCTTTCTGTTTACTGAATAGATCCTGGTAAACAACACACAGAGGTCAAAGATCACCTAAAGGCTCTGCCGCTGTAACTAACCCTTACTGGGAATCAAACAAGCAACTTTCTGTTTCCCTCCACTGGAGGTAAATCCATGTGAAACAGACAATCTGAACCCAACTGTTGTTTGACTCCATCTGCAGAACACGGCTGCTGTGGGTTTGTACAGTATGTTGTTTATGTACACAGCATAAATGCAACCATAAACAATTTCATCATGTTTGATTGATTCTATCTGAGGTTTCACCATGACGAGAAGCTCCTCTGTTGGTTCAGTGTAAACGATCACCAAACACCTTCAACCAGTGGAACTCATTAGTGTTTTCAATGTTTGCTATGAGGTGTCCTCGAGGCTTTTGGGTAAGATGTTGACCATAAACTGCAACTTCCCTGTTTAGATCTGTCTCTACTATCACTATCTCGTCAAGGAATAGAAATTAAAAACAATGATTTTTTTCTGTGTTTTATACATTAGACTTGATGAGTTTAAGTTTAAGTTGAGTTTTTACCTTCTCGCTTTCAATATCCAACATCTTCTGCTGCAGAGCCGACTTTGTCACTTCAATGGACTCCAACCACTGACCGGGGAGAGAGACGGGTGGAGAGACAGGTAGATGGACAAAATAGGTAGATTGTTATAAAGACTGGCAGGAAGTGAAATGTTCAGAGGACATTTCCATCTTCAGGACCCTTCAGGGGGGCAGAGACACAAACATCCAACAACATAAACTAAAAACAGAGACAGAAAGAGACTAGATGGGTGATTAAGACAAATAAACATATGGTCACATGGTCCATTGTGTAAATATGATTCAAACAACAATACATCATGAAATGATGGCAGTGACCAAATCTGTCCTTCTACAAGTACTCTGACTAAGAATTTGAGCTGTGTGAGATCCAAACAGGGTGGAAGGACAGCAGGTTGATGGACTGCTGTGTTCAGCTGTGACCGTTACCTTTTCTGCTAGAGTTAGAACCGTCCTGGCCTGGATCACCACCACCTGCTCCTCATTGGACAGATTCTGCAAGAAGATATGCCAACAACATGTCAACAATAAGGAATTAACATGTCAACAATACGTCAGCAACATGTAAATAACACGGCAGCAACATGTAAATAACAGGTCAAAAACACATAGGCAATATGTAAAAAATACATCAACAACACAAACACATGTAAATAACACATCCAAAACTCCTCAGCAATATGTAAATAACATGTCAACAACATGTTAACATGTCAAAAATGCATAAGCAAAATATAAATAAGATGGCAACACGTCAGCAACATGTAAATATCATGTCAACAAAACATTAGCAACATGTTAACATCACATCGACATAACATTAGCAACATGTTAATAACACGTCAACAATGCATTAGCAGCATGTTAATAACATGTCAATAACATGTAAACAACGCATCAGCAACATGTAAATAAAACATTAACATAACGTTAGCAACATGATAATTACACGTCAACAACACCTCAGCAACATCTAAATAACATGTCAACAACAGCATGACAAGCTCTCCCAGCTGCACGTGCCCGACTCCACCTGCAAGTGGATCACAGACTTCCTGTTTGACAGGAAACAGCACGTCAAGCTGGGAAAACACGTCTCAGCCTCCCGGACCATCAGGACCGGTTTCCCCTAAGGCTGCATTCTTTCCCCTCTGCTCTTCTCCCTGTACACCAACAGCTGCACCTCCAGTCACCAGTCAGTCAAGCTCCTGAAGTTCGCAGATGACACCACCCTCATTGGACTCATCTCTGGTGGGGATGAGTCCGCCTCCCCCTATCACCCTGTGTGACTCCCCCTATCTCCCTGTGTGACTCCCCCTATCACCCTGTGTGACTCCCCTCTCGACGCGGTGGAGTCCTTCCGCTTCCTGGGCTCCATCATATCCCAGGACCTCAAGTGGGAGCTTAACATCAGCTCCATCACCAAGAAGGCTCAGCAGAGGATGTACTTCCTGAGGCAGCTGAAGCAATTCAACCTGGCAAAGACAATGATGGTGCACTTCTACACAGCCATCGTTGAGTCCATCCTCTGCTCCTCCATCACGGTCTGGTACGCTGCAGCCACTGCCAAGGACAAGGGCAGGCTGCAGCGCATCATTCGTTCTGCTGAGAGGGTGATTGGCTGCAATCTGCTGTCCCTCCAGGACTTGTTCACTTCAAGGACCCTGAAGCGAGTAAGAAAGATTGTAGCCGACCCCTCTCACCCTGGACAGAAACTGTTCATGCCCCTTCCATCTGGCAGGAGGCTGAGGTCCATCAGGACCAAGACCTCAGGACACATGAACAGTTTCTTCCCATCTGCAGTCGGGCTCATTAACAGAGCCCGGGACCCCCACTGACTCTGTCATCCCCAGGACAATTTTCTATAGTCCTGTTATCTGTTTGTTTGTGCACTTTATCTTATATTTTACTTTATTTTACATTTTTCTGTAAAACTTAATATGGTTCTGCTTTGCACTGTGTTGATTGTTGTTGATTGTTAAATGTTATGCACCTCCTGTCATGTCAAATTCCTTGTATGTTCAACATACCACGGCAATAAACGGTTCTGATTCTGATTAATGACACGTCAATAACACCTTAGCAACATGTAAACACCATGTCAACAACACGTCAACAATATTTAAATAAAACCTTAACAACACCTCAGCAACACCTAAATAGCATGTCTACATGTTAATAACACGTCAACATAACGTTACCAACATCTAAATAACAAGTGAACATGTAAATACCATGTTAATAACATGTCAATAAGTTGTAATTAACAGGTAAATAACTAAAAAGACATGTCAGCAACCCCTCAGCAACATGTAAATAACATATACACAACACGTCTACAACATGTTAATAACACATCAACATCTAATTAACACGTCAACAATTGTCAGCAACATGTAAATAACACATGAACATCTAAATACCATGTTAATAACACATCAACAATACGTCACCACCTGAATAACACGTCAACAATGTGCAAATAACATGTTAATAACATGTCAATAAGTTGTAATTAACAGGTAAATAACTTAAAAGACACGTCAGCAAACCCCTCAGCAACATGTAAATAACATATCAACACGTCAACATGTTAATAACACGTCAACAATGTGTCAGCAACATCTAATTAACACGTCAACAATGTGTCAGCAACATGTAAATAACAAGTGAATAACATGTAAATACCATGTTAATAACACATCAATAAGATGTAATTAACAGGTAAATAACTTAAAAGACACATCAGCAACCCCTCAGCACCCTAACCATAAATAACAAGTGAATAACATGTAAATAGCAAGTCAACACGTTAGCAGCATGTTAATAACACGTCAACAACCTGTCAGCAAGATGTAAATTACACGTGAACAACTCGTCAGCAACATATAAATTACACCTCAACATACCGACAGCAACTGGAAGATAACGCCTCAAAATTTATATTAACATTTGAATAACATGTAACAAGTCAACACGTTAGCAGCATGTTAATACCACAGCAACACCACATCAGCAACATTTCAATAACATGCCAAAAGGAATAAATTAACATGTAAATAACACGTGAACAACAAGTTTTGGATTCAGAAAAATCCTTCTGTTTTTACTCATCTGTTTGTCAATAATGGGACATCAATGTGTTTTCATGGTAAAGTAACCGAGTTTTCATCAGACCAGTCACATATCAGTATAACAGCAGAAAGATGAGGGGAGACACTGGTTGGTTTCATGGATTAACCACTGCAGAGGAAACAGTGTTAAATAAAAGGAGCTTCTGCAGGTTTAGGTCCAAATAAACAGAACTGAACGAAGAGATCTGCTGCTTCTGATGACAGAAGATGAAGTCCAGATCCAAATTGATTGACTTTACTATTGAAAACACATACATGTACAAATTAAATTCAACATACACTTACGGCGTTATCTCCCAGAATGTCCAGCTTCTTCATCAACTCACTGATCGCAATGTCCTGAGGGAAAATAATAAACATCATTCAGGATAACTAATAACTACTCAGGTGAGCTCAGGTGTTTGTAGGTGTATTCAGGTGTATTTACAGGGCTCTTCTTATTTCTCTATTTTGTGCCTCCTTCTCTCCTCGCTCCTCCGGCTTGTGGCCCCAAATTTAATCTCAGTGCTTCATTTTGAACAAGATCCCAATTGCAAAATCTCAATGAGAGAGGAAGCGATCCGGAGGAGCTTTAAGTGAGGAAACACAGGGATCTCCTTTGTGGAAGTCCTGTGGGCCACGGGACAAATAAAAGAGGCGAGACCATGACAGTGTGTTCAGATGATCAAACTCTCTGCACTTCACCGTTTGTGTAGCACCTGATAAGTCTCTGTTTGAACCACTTTCTTTCATGACATTCATCTTGATATCTTTTTCTCTTATCCAATTCATCTACTTTAATCCTGACACGATGTTTACAAGTGCAAACAGACTGAATATGTCTAAATATTATGTCAATAAACATTCTCTAGTGTTCAGCATTAATGTGTTTGTATTTCATGTTGTCATATAGACAGAATTTAATGTAAACATATATGTTGTCATGAACACTGATGCTTATCTTAAAGAGATCATAAAATAATAAAGACCAGATGATGCAGCTGTGACTCATCATACTTATTTGATGTCTATTTAAAATGACGGGTTCGAGTCCTCATATCTCTTCCCTCACTCTTCAGCTTGCTTCACCCCGTGGACGGGACTTAGCATGAGGAGAGGAGGCAAGGAAAAGAATGAAGGATGCACAAACTAGAAAATGACAAAGGCCTCATGTGTCATCAGGTGTAGGGTTACTCACAGGGACTCCCTCTGCCTCGCAGTAGATTTGTAGGGGACTGAGGCCTTCTGGGAAATGGAGTTGTTGGAAGTTAATGGCAGGTGAGCGTCGCTCTCTCTCCTGAACAGTAAACATGGTTTCCATAGAAACAGAGACACAGGTGTCAGTGTGTTTTAACTTGTTGTTGTTGTTGTTTACATCTGTCTGAATGTTTTAACTTGTTGTCGTTGTTTATATCTCTGATTGTTTTAACTTGTTGTTGTTTACATCTGTTCTATTTCATCCTTACTGACCGCCAGAGGCAGTGCTTAACACTGGATATCTTCTGTCTCGCGCCTGCGCAGGTCGAGTATTTATATCAACAAAGTCACCTGTGACCTTGGATGACCCCCGTCGTCTATAAGTTCCGGTGTCATCCTGAGATCAGTCCTTTTTTCATCTTCTCGCTACGCAGGCTAGCTACCATGGTAGCATAAGCTTAAACAAAGGTCTACGATCAAGACATATTGGAGCTTGTCGCTGTAGCCTTGTGACCACCGGTCGGAGTTGCGGATCTCTCGCCCTCCAAAGGCTGCGATAAGCTGTCCCTCTTAGGAGGGAGTGGCGTGTTTTGTCGTTCGGATCATCGACTGGCGGAGGCCCCTATCATCGGTCATCACCAGTCTGATAAGGGCCACCTAAGTCGTGAAGACAGCAATCGGTGAGATCGATTAACATTGTTTTCTATAACCGTTGTTCGTTTTCCACGGTTGGCAGAGCGCTTCCGCTCTAGCTAATCGAGTGGCGTGCTAACGAGAGCGTAGAATTTACGCTGTCGGCCCGCCCTTCACAGTTGGCAGAGTGTGCCCGCTAAGGCAAACTTGGTGAGAGACTAGTTCGACTAGATCGACATTGACATTGTGTCCATTGAGATTTAATTTTTAAAATCTGACAGTTTTCACAGTTAGCAGTGTCTTCGCTCAGGCTAACTCAGTAGGAAGCTAGCTAGACAAAGCTGATACTGGGACTGTGTCCATCGACTTTGAAGCATTACGACTATCATAGTTAGCAGAGTGTCCTCGCTCAGGCTAACTCGGTGAGATGCTAGTTATACTAAATCAACATTGATGTATCCATTGATGCTTTTTACGCATTACGGCTGTCGCAGTTGGCAGTGTCCTCACTCAGGCTAACCTGGTGGGACACTAACTAGTTACAGCGACTGTCCTAGCAAAGAGAGTGTCCTCGCTCCCCTTTCACTGTAAGGACTGGGTTTTTTTTGGCCTGTTTCCACAGTGGCAGAGTGCTCTCGCTCAAGCTAACTGGTGGGACACCAATATCTGAGAGTGTCCGAAGAGATCACTCCCCTCTGACTGCCCCCTGCATATTCTCTCAACATTCAGCAGAGCACTCCCGCTCAGACTGACTTAGAATTCCGCATCAACTAGTGGGACAAGGGTTCCTCCAGAATCAAGGCCATGTTAAACTCTCCCGGCTGTAGGACCTGTATAGCTCCTCTTCAGCCTGAGGACAGCCATGACCTCTTGCCTTAGCCTCGAGCATCTGAGGGAGGGCCTCTCGGAGAACCCAGGCAGGACCTGCGGCATCATGCCTTGAGCAGTAAGGTCTGCTAGGCTGGCCGAAGTGGGATACACAGCAGCCGGAACTTCCGCCTGCGAGTGCCGTCTTCAGGCGCCTTCCCGCCCTCACCACCTTTTCTGTTCCTCCCTCCGAGGAATATCTGAGGGAGTTGCGTGCATGCTGGAGAGACACCAGGGCTCTCTCCCGCCTTACATCAGATGGCCGAACCCTGACGACCATGCAGGAGGTGGCAAAATTTGGCCTTGCATGTATGCCAGCCATTTAGCTGACTATTGCGTCCCTCATAGTTTCCCCTGAGGTGACTCTGAGGCCCGATGCCAGGTGCCTTCGACCCCAACGTCGAGTCAAAGATGACCTGCTATCCAGGGCTTATGACACAGCAGCGCTGTGAACCGTATCGGCAACTCCCTCTCCCACCTCATGCTTACCCTCACAGCTTCTCTGCAGCAGGCTACTTTCGATGCTTCCGCCTCCAGCCTCAGCAATGCTTCATTGCAGGCGTTTGCGCTCATGTCGAGGGAACTTGGACGTATGATGTCCACCCTGGTCCAGACTCACCGCCAGGTTTGGCTGGCGCAGTCATCCCTGTCTGAGACATGTAGGAGGACCCTCCGTACTGTCCCACTGGAACCTGGTGAGCTGTTCGGGTCAGCTGCTATACAGGCACTTCAGCGAACTGTTGAAGCTAGCCAGACCAGGCAGCAGTCATCTGATCTTTGCAGGGACATCCCTGCACCCCGCAGACCTAGGGGTCCCACTTTGGCCTCCCCAAGGCCGTTTTTTCAGCCTCCAGCTTACTCCAGTAGCCGCCACGGGCCTCACCAGGAGATGATGTCTCCGGGCCGGCTGTCGTTTTTTTTTTCTCCCAGCAGCAGATTCGCAAGGGAGAGTGGTTCACGTCTGTCGACGCCTATTCCCATGTTCCCATGGTGCATCACCACAGGCAGTTTCTTTATTTTGCCTTTTAAGGCCCCCACTGTCAGTCCAGGGTGCTTCCATTCGGACTCTCCCTTCTCCCCACGGGTGTTTACAGGGTGTGTTACTGCCGTCCTTTCCCCCTGCAATCACAGGGCGTGAAAATACTGCCGTACTTAGACGACTGGCTGACCTGGTTTTCCTGTTCCATCACAAGCCTCCACCGGGAGAGTGGTGGCTGCATCCAGACGTGTTGTCGACCCACTGCCCCCACTGGGTCTCCCTGACGGAGAGGACCAGTCCTCTGGGTCAAGATGCCCTGGCTCACACGTGGCCAGAGGATCTTCTTTATGCCTTTCCACCATTCCCTCTGATCTTGCCAACACTTGTCAGAGTTCTTCCCCGACAGAGGGGACCTCCTGTCGCAACTAGAAGGTCGGATTTGGCATCCCAATCCCTGCCGCCTTCAACTATGGGTCTGGCCCCGGGAGGGCCCGACCGGATGCTGAGTGGCTGCATAGAACCAGTCAGACTGACTATTCTGAATGCCAGGGCGCGATCTACCTGCCTGCAGTACGAAAACAGGTGGAAGCTGTTCTCTGACTGGTGTGCGGCTCAGAACAAGGTCCCAGTGCAGTGCCACGTGCCTGCTGTACCGAGTTTCTACAGTCCCTCCTAGATAAGGGCCGGTCTCCCTCTACCTTTGGAGTATACGTGGCCACTATTTGGGGCAGCATACTAAGGTCGACAATGACACAGGAGAGAGCCACAGACTGGTGTCCCTCTTCCTAAAAAGGGGCTCTGCGATTGCATCCCCGAGCTCCCCGAAGGCCCCTGCATGGAATCTACCCTTGGTACTGGACACCCTATGCTTGTCTCCTTTTGAACCCCTGGCACAGGCGGAGCCAAGATGGCTATCGGCCAAAACGTTTTTTCTCCTTGCCGTCACTTCAGCTCAACGTGGGGGCGAGCTGCATGCCCTGTCGGTGAAAGAATCATGTCTGAGGTGGAACTCAGATGGCCTGGGTGTCACTTTGTGGCCTAATGCAGCGTTTCTCCCAAGGGTGTTGACACGCTCACATATCAACCAGCCTACCCAGCTCACGAGGTTTGACCACCCCATCAGGAGGTCAAGGCTGCTGTGCCCTCAGATCTTATGTGGAAGCCACCGCCTGCATATGGCGGTCAGAGCAGCTCTTTATCAGCTATGGTGAGCCTAAGAAGGGCTGTGCTCCTTCTAAAAAACAACGCCTATCCCACTGGATAGTGGAGGCCATTGCCTATATATACAAGGCGAGCGACCGCGCTCGGCCACCCGGGGTGAAGGGCCACTCTACCAAAAGTGTCTCCACATCAGGGGCAGCCCTGAGAGGTGTGCCTGTGGAGGATATACAGTATGTGCTGCGGCCTCATGGGCATCACCGAGCACATTCACCAAACACTACAGAGTTAACGTTGCCACCCCTCACCCACTGGGGAGGGTTCTTTGTCCAATTTCCTCTGCCGGAGCTATACGAGGTAGTTACGGTGATTCCTTGTGACTCTGTTGATATAAGTTATCCAGTGTTAAGCACTGCCTCTGGCGGTCAGTAAGGATGAAATAGAATGAAAGTTACGAATGTAACTACGGTTCTATGAATCCTGGATGACCACCAGAGTTCTTGGTCACTCGGAATCCCGTGAACTTGCGAGAATATTCCATAGGACTGATCTCAGGATGACACCAGAACTTATAGACGACGGGGGTCATCCGAGGTCACAGGTGACTTTGTTGGTATAAATACTCGACTTGCGCAGGCGCGAGACAGAAGATATCCAGTGTTAAGCATTGCCTCTGGCAGTCATCCAGGATTCATAGAACCGTAGTTACATTCGTAACTTTCGTTTGAATGTTTTAACTTGTAGTTTATGTCTGTGATGACAGTTTTAACTTGTTGTAGTTTATGTATGTTATGACTGTTTGTTTATGTTGTTGTTTACGTCTGTCTTGTTTACCTCAAGCTCTAAGATCCGAAACTCCAGGAGTTCGTTCTGATCTCTGACATCCTGGATTTCATTTTCCAGCTGCAGCTCTTCACCTTCCATTTGCTTCACCTGTAAACATCACAAAAATATATATATATATACACGTATATATTCGTATATATATATGTATATATACACGTATATTTACAAATATGTACAGAGCCAGAAACAATGATGAAAACATTGTCATATAATGCTGTATGTCTCTGTGTGTTTATATCATATATAATATATATATATCTTCCTATATTAAAACGAGTCACACTAATATCTATCGAGAAAAATGTATGGTTTTATTCCATTAATTCTTCTTCTTCTTTTGTTATTATTATCATTTATTGTTGCTATTCAGTGTCTTATTTGGGACATAGTTATGCTCTGGGTCCAGGAAGTTGAAATGTATTTCCCATCATGCTTTGAGGGATGTAAACATGAAGTATACTGTTGCCATGGACACAGTGAGTTAGCTGTGAGTTACGTTTTAGTTTCCTTGTATTCAAAGTGTCTCAATGATCTGGGTCCACATGGATGGACTACTACAGCTGGATTACTTTGATGCTGAAGAAACATGATCAGTATTTTTTCTGTGATTTTTAAGTGGATTTATGGATGCTTATTGCTGGATACTGATATCCTCACACTGAATGATCTCATTGTTTCTTATGTGTTTGCTTCACCTTCTCCACCAGCTTTTGATTCCTTTGATACAATGCCTGCTTCTCCTCCACCCACTTCACATCCTGAGAGACAGATAGACAGAAAGCCAGACAGACAGATGGACGGACAGAAAGACAGGCAGATAGACAGCAGTGTCACCAGAAGTTAGATGTTTAGAAGATGTTCAAATCAACATGACAGCAAACCACTAAAAATATACCTTATTTATTTTTTTTATTTGCTACCCAGGAGGCTTATTTTCATCTCTTATGAGTAAGGCTGTACCAAACAAGCTTTGAGGCTTTGTTCAAGTCATTGACATTTTAATTCTAAATCAACATTAAAATGCTGCGCAGCTTTTTTTTTTTGTTTGAATCAGAATCAGATTCCAATCAGATTTTAGCTATGTGTTATGAATTGCTGAGAGCTAGTAGTGTTAGGAATTTAAACAGGTCATAATTAATCTCCAATAAAAAAGTATCAATTTGAAAAACCCTTGAAAACCCAGGTTTATACCTGAAGTTACCTCGTTAACCCCAAATCCTGCTTCATAGTAATACATATTGCTATTACATTCACAGTGTGTGTGTGTGTGTGTGTGTTACCAGTCCTTGTTGTTTCAGTGCGGACTCCAGGTCTGCAACTCTGGTTTGATATTGACTGATTTCAGTTAGCAACTGCTCTCTGGTCTGTAAGACAGGGAATAGAACCATCAACATGTTGGTACTTTGTTTCATGACACAGAATAGAACCATCGACCTGTTGCTCAGGGTTTGAGTCACCTTGATCTCCTTCTCAGCATCGTAGTTCACTCCGCTCGTCTCCGTCAGCAGAGCGTACGCTCGCTGCAGCGCCTGATACTCCTGAGTCAGCTGACGGTAACGGAACTCCTCCTCCTCACGCACACACACCTTAAACCCACAAACGAGTCAGTAAGAGAACCAGTAACAGAAAAGTTTGCTTTATTGTCAATTCCACAATGTACTGGACATACAGGGGAGTTGAGACCAGTAACAGAACCAGTAACAGAACCAGTAACAGAACCAGTAACATCCCCCCCCAACAAACATCCTGTGCTTTAGGACTTTAATGCCTTGCTTAACAAATGGTCAAGTGGCGGCATGGCTGCTGTTTGACTGCTGGTCCTCAGAGTCATCAGTGTCCTCAGAGTCCTCAGAGTCATCAGAGTCCTCAGAGTGATTAGGGTTAGCCAGCAAAATTAAAAACCTCTCATAATTAAGACGTCTCTCTCCTACAGAAAGTCAACCTTTCAATCAACTCCTCATCCTTGTAAATTAGCTTCTGTCCTGAAAAACTCGGCCCTCTAAAAGACCGCTTGATGTAGAATCGATATACAAGACGTCTTACAATCACAATCAGTGTCAAAGTCTTTACTATGGAAACAACCTTGATTTTGACTTGAAACCTGCTCCTGAATAACATTTAGGACGAGTCTTAGCGAGAACAAGGATTAAGTCTAGATGGTGCAACCAGACCCAATAGACTGACCCACCAGAGACCTGAACAGGGTCTAGGTGTTTCTGTATCTGTGTATGTGTGTGTGTGTGTGTGTGTGTGTGTGTGTGTGTGTGTGTGTGTATGTCTGTGTGTGTTTACATTACATTACAGTCATTTAGCAGATGCTTTTATCCAAAGCAACTTATAATAAATGTATTCAACGTCGGTAAGAGAACTACTAGTCACCAGAAGTCATAAGTGCATCTCCTTTAAACAAGCATCTAAGAGCATAAACCAGAGCAGAAGTACAGAAACAAACTAGTATGAATACAATGAGTGAAACAAACTAGTATGAATACAGTAAGTGGTGAGTGGAAGGCTCAGGGTAGTACTTCTTGAAGAGGTGAGTTTTCAGCCTGATGAAAGATGGGCAGCGACTCTGCTGTCCTGACGTCAGTTGGGAGTTCATTCCACCACTGTGGGGCCAGGACAGAAAAAAGGCGTGACCGGGTCGATCGGCCGCAGGGACCTCTGAGCGACGGGGCAACCGATCGCCCCGAGGCAGCAGAGTGAAGTGGTCGGGCGGGGGTGTAGGGCTTGACCATGGCCTGGAGATAGAAAGGAGCTGTTCCTTTCACTGCCCTGTAGGCTAGCACTGGAGTCTTAAACTGGATGCAAGCTCTTACAGGGAGCCAGTGTAGAGAACGGTGAAGGGAAGTTGTGTGGGAGAACTTGGGGTGATTGAACACCAGACGAGCTGCAGCTTTCTGGACAAGCTCCAGAGGTCTGATGGGCAACGCCGGGGCTCCGGCAAGTAGTGAGTTGCAGTCGTCCAGGCGGGAGATGACAAGAGCCTGGATGAACACCTGCGCCGTGTTGTCAGTGAGGAAGGGGCGAATCCTCCTGATGTTGTAGAGCAGGAATCTGCAGGAGCGTGTAACCGATGCAACGTTTGCTGAGAACAACAGTTGGTCGTCCAGGGTCACACCCAGATTCCTTGCAGTCCGAGTTGGCATCACCACGGTATCATCAATGGTGATGGACAGGTCTCGGTGCGGGCAACCCTTCCCCTGAAGGAACAGTAGCTCGGTTTTGTCCAGGTTGAGCTTCAGGTGGTGTGTCGCCATCCACTTCGAGATGTCAGCCAAGCACGCAGCGATGTGTGCCTCCACTTGAGTGTCACCGGGGGGAAATGACAAGACCAGCGGGTTGTCATCGGCATAACAATGGCAAGAGAAGTCATGAAGAGATGCTGTGTAGAGCGAGAAGAGAAGGGGGCCCAGAACTGAACCTTGTGGAACCCCCGTAGTCAGCATGCGTGGTTCCGACACGGCCCCCCTCCATGTCACCTGGTAGGATCGACCTGTCAGGTAGGATGCAAACAGGGAGAGTGCAGAGCCTGAGACGCCCATCCCCTCGAGGGTGGAGAGGAGGATCTGGTGGTTCACCGTGTCAAACGCGGCAGACAGGTCCAGGATAATCAGGACAGAGGAGAGAGAGTTCGTTCTCGCGGCGTGAAGCGACTCTGTCACCGCAAGGAGGGCTGTCTCAGTCGAGTGACCCACCTTCTTGTCAAAGAAGTTGGCAAAATCATCAGGGAGAAGGGAGGAAGTAGGAGGAGGGGGAGGGGGTTGGAGGAGTGAAGAGAAAGTTTCAAAGACTTTTTTAGGATTGGAAGCAGAGGTTAGGATTTTAGAGCGGAAGAAAGCAGTTTTAGCAGTAGATAGAGAGGAGGAGAAAGTGGAAAGAAGAGATTGGAAGTTAAGAAGGTCCTCCGGGAGTTTGCCTTTTCTCCATTTACGCTCAGCTAAATGGAGGCACTGACAGGCTCCGTCTGTCAGTACGCACTGAGTCCGACAGCCATGGGGCAGATGGAGTTGGCCGTGCAGGCCTGGAGGTGAAGGGACAGACGTCCAAAGAAGAGGAAAGGGTTGAGAGGAGAAAGTCAGTAGCAGTATCAGGGGATAGGAGAGAGAAGGATTCTGGGTCAGGGAGAGCAGAGGTATGGGGAGAGGGATCTAAGATGACTATGGGTAGAAACCATGTGGGTAGGTGGAGGAAGTACGGGGGGAGAGGAGAGGCAGAGGGAGTAGGACATGAAATAGTGGTCAGAGAGCTGGAGGGGAGTGACGGAGAGGTTAGCAGTAGAACAGTGTCTAGTGAAGATAAGATCCAGCTGGTTGCCGGCCTTGTGGGTAGGAGGAGAAGGGGAGTGGGAAAGGTCAAAGGAGGAGAGGAAGGAAAGAAGAGGTTGAAGTCGCCGAGCAGGATGAGTGCGGAGCCATCGTCATGGAAGTGCAAGACTAATGTCAAGCTCCTCCAGGAATTCACCAAGGGGGCCTGGTGGGCGATACACAACAGCAATGGTGAGCTTGACTGGATAAGTGACAGTAACAGCATGACATTCGAAAGAGGATGGGAGAACTGTGGAACAGAGACAAGAGAGTATTTCCATTTTGGGGAAATTAGCAGGCCAGTACCACCACCCCGCCTTGCAGCTCTGGGAGTGTGAGAGAAAGAGTACACATCTGACAGAGCTCCGGGTGTGATGGTGTTTTCTGGTGTGATCCAGGTCTCAGTTAAAGCAAGAAAGTCGAGGGAGAGCAAGGATGCGTAGCCTGAGATTAACTCAGCTTTCGGCACTGCCGACTGGCAATTCCAAAGCCCCCCTGCCACCACTTGCTCGCCATGAGCTGAGAGAGTAGGACAGATGAGATTAGTGGGGTCACGGCACCTGGGAGTGACCCAACGTCTACGTGACCACCGGACAGAGGAACGGACAGAAATAGGATGCAAACACATGGTAGTCAATATAAACAGATTACTGACCCGCAAGTACACGCTCGAGAAGTCTTTGCTTGACGAAGTCGGGCTTGAAAAAGTCGCCCTGTTCCCTTTGTTTGCCTGATGCTTCCAACCCCCAGCAGTGCTGAAGGACAGCTACCTACTGATTGCTCATTGTCTGCCAGGAGTGCAAGCCACTCCCTGGAACTTAGCAGAGCAATTGACCAGGAGAAACTAAATCACACCTCCCTTACACCAGCAGAAACTGCAAAAGCACTAACACTGAAGCAGCCTAGGTACAGGTAATAACTTGTAAAGGCAAGAACAAAATACTGAGTCTGTTCTAGCTGAGTCAAGTAGTGCAGTATCCAAATACACTCTTTTTGTGTTTGTATGTGTGCATGTGTGTGTGTGTCTGCGTCTGTGTGAATGTGTGTCTGTGTTTGTGTGTATGTGTGTGTGTCTGTGTGTACGTGTACCTCGTCTGTTTCTGTATCAGGAGTTCTGTCGGTGTGAAATGACAAAGATGATCCATCAGAGTCCACAGACACTTCCTCATCATAGCCATAGAACGTCTCTATGACCTGTGTGAGAACAGGAGAAAATTAGAACAAGAGAACAAGAGAAGAAAAGAGAAGGAGAACAAGACAACAGGAGAACAAGTTAACAAGAGAACAACAGACCAGGAGAACAAGAGAAGAGGAAAGAAGTTTGAAAGCTTGATGACGTTCTTACCCTGCAGGCTTTGAAGGTTCGTTTCCTCCTGACTGATTCTTGACGTCTGTGTCTCAGTAACATGTCTCTCTCCTGAAGGAAACACGCAGTTAGATCAGTCATTCATTCATTCATTTATTCATTCATATATTCATTCGTATATTAATTAATTATTTTCATTTCACTTATAGTCTTTCATTCATATATTCATTTACTTATTTATTCATTTATTTATTCATTTGTTCATTCATTTATATATTCATTTATTCATTCATATATTCATTCATATATTCGTTCATTCATTCATACATATAATAGTTCATTCATCAGGATTTGTGTTGGAATGATACATTTAAGTCCAATATTAACTCTTTTAGCTGATTTTTGTCTCCTTCAGGTAATTTATTCTCCTGCTCAGTGTTAGTGTCACATTCCTTAATGAATGACATCACACACAGTAGACGTAGTGCTCATCAATACCTACTATAACATTCTTTACATAACCAGCTGTCTCCAGAGCCTGAAAACACAAAGAGTTTTATTTAAATATTGTTTCTTCAACAACTGTGAAACATCAGCAGGTTAGAATCTATCAGCTGTGCTGGGTTTTGATAAATCGATGGTGCTGTCCATGGTGCTGGAGTAGCGGAGAGATTTGTAATTGTGACTTTTTCCCCTTTCAGTTTCCTCTTGGAACTTTAATATATAACAAGAAAATGCTGCCAGCTGAAACTGCAAAGCAACACTGAAAATACTGGTGTAAAGTTGTAGTAGCAGTATTAAAAGTAGTAGTAGTAGTAATAGTATAAGTACCTTGGACAAGTCGTCGATGATGTGCTGTTGTAGTAGTAGTATTAAAAGTAGTAGGAGTAGTAGTAGTAGTAGTATAAGTACCTTGGACAAGTCGTCGATGATGTGCTGTTGTAGTAGTAGTATTAAAAGTAGTAGTAGTAGTAGTAGTAGTATAAGTAGTAGTAGTAGTAGTAGTTTAAGTACCTTGGACAAGTCGTCGATGATGTGCTGTTGCTCCAGAACTTGTAAACGTAGAAACTCCATCTCTCTCTCATCCTGGCTGTAACCATGGTAACTGTTGGAGTGGCTGCGGTCCAGGTCGTTTAAAGAACTCGGTCTCCTCTGAGGACCAAAACAAAAGCTGCTTTTACCATAGCAACTACTGTCTAATACTAATCAATTACTACTCTCATAAGCCAGTGTATAATCATTGCAATGATTCTAATCTTCTCTCCAAAAATTACTTTGTTCTATGTCATAATACTTGTTATATGGTAAGAGAGACTCAGGATGCCTCAGTGTTCTACAGAACAAAAATAAATAAAGTTTTTTAATCTAAGATGTCAACAAGTCTGATTCCGGTTCCGATGTGAGGGTCAAAGGACAGAGGATTGTAAAGCCCTCTGAGGAGAATTTGTGATTTTAGGCTATACATAATAAATTGAACTATTGTTTGACAAAATGATGGATTGACTTGACTGCTGGTTTGAGTGTGACCGAGCTCTCAGAGTGTTAGTGATTACAGGTCCAGGACCACAGGGTCAGGGGTCATGTTGTGGTCTTATTAAGATGGCAGCCTTTGTTTGTTCATTCACTTTTCTGCTCTTCTTCTCTGGTTACATTTGCCAAGGAGGAACTTTTCAACATCCAATAAGGAATTTGTCCATTTTTTTCCCAGCTTTTATCCAACTGGAAAATTGTAGTGAACTTTAGTGAGACGCAGACGGGGGAAACGGGTTGGAGCACTATTTAAACTGCAGCAGCGGGGATTTTGAACTGCACGTCAATACATCTGATGAACAGCTGCTCTCTGTTCCACAAGATGGACGAGCTGCTGCTATATATGCACATATTACATGTAAATATACTTACATCTTACACATCGTATTGACAGTATGAAGTCATCTTTACTGGAACATAATCATCCAGTACATATATACCCAGTCAGTATTTATTTTCTATTCTATTCTATTCTATTTATTTATCTGCACTATTTGTATAGTACAACTTACAGAACACTTGACTTGTATATAGACCTTTTATTTCTATTTTATTGTTGGTCATTGTGGCTTTTATATATATATATTTATACAACCTTTATATTCACACCTATTGGTAGATGGTAAATGGACCGTACGTAGTTTATTTTCTAGTCTTCCGACCATTTAAAGTGCTTTAACACTACAGGTCATCATTCACCCATTCACACCCGTTCATACACTGACAGGGGCTACCATGTAAGGTGTCACCTGCCCATCGGGACAATCTAACATTCATACATTCATAGGCACAGACTACGGAAGCACTTTGGGGTTCAGTGTCTTGCCCAAGGACACATGGAGATGGACTGGAGGAGACGGGGATCGAACCTCCGATCCTCTGATTGAAGGATGACCCGCTGAGTCAGAACTGCCCTATTGTTTCACCACTTGTGTACACAACAGTCCTGTTTGTTATCGACCTTTATTTGCACAGCTTTATTGGCCTTTTCCCTAGCGAGTCAAAGTCCTTGTATGTGCCGATAAAGGTGATTCTGATTACCATAGTTACCATCTCCATGTTCTCCTGGGTGACGAAGCGAAGCTTGTTGTCGAGGCGACGCAACGTGAGATCCAGATCCTCGTTCTTCCTGCTCAGACATTTGTTTTTGTCCAGAAGAGGAAGAAACTGACTCTCTGTCTCTCGCAGACGCTTCAGCTGCAGAAGGCAAAATAAAATACAGCAAATATAGAGAGAACACAAAGTTCACATAATGTAGAAAAAAGACAGTGCAGAAAATACAGAACATATACAATATACATAAAATAAAGAAAAATATCTATAGTACAGCCAGAGCAAGGGTGTTTGGTGTTAAAGAGTGTATATCTTTGTGAGAACCACTTTGGGTTTTAGACCTTAGGAGTGAGGACAGTTCTACATTGTGAGGACATTTCTGCAATGTGAGGACATTTCTACATTGTGAGGACATTTCTGCATTGTGAGGACATTTCTACATTGTGAGGACAGTTCTGCATTGTGAGGACATTTCTGCATTGTGAGGACATTTCTACATTGTGAGGACAGTTCTACATTGTGAGGACATTTCGACATTGTGAGGACAGTTCTGCATTGTGAGGACAGTTCTACATTGTGAGGACATTTCTACATTGTGAGGACATTTCTGCAATGTGAGGACATGTATATATATATATATATATATATATATATATAGATATACTGTATATATGTTGAGGAAGATTTTGCGTTGTGAGGACATTCAGGCTGGACCTTTGAAGGCTCAGATTCTGTTGGTTTAGGTCAGGGTTATGGGCTAGGGACTGCATAATGTCAATAAGAGTCATGAGTCTATTTACCATTAACAATTGAAGAAAGATGTTATGTGATGTGTTTGTTACCAGTTCGTTTCGTTCTTCAGACAGCAGAGCATTTCGATCCTCCAACTTCCTGACTACAGCACTGAGCTCAGCGATTTTTAACTGAAACCTGCGCGTGTCCCGGTCCTCCTGGGACTGTTTACACACACACATCACACACACACACACACACACACACACACACACACACACACACACACACAGTTATTCTATTACAGAGGAATTTCAGTTTCCTGCTATAACTCTTTTAAGTCATCATGTTCAGTGTTGATGACAGTTTTTGATTAACTTGAAAAAAGTTGGACGACAGTTTGAAAACAAGTTTTGAACAAAAGTCAAAGCTACAATATGCACATATGGAGAGAACACAATCACTAAGAAACAATCACAGAGCTTCTGTCATCTCCACAAAGAATACATGTAGCTTCTGCAGAAAGTTGATCAAACAGCAGCGTATGCTCATGACCAATGATGTGTTGTATTCAATGACAAACAGCCAATCACAGAGCTTCACGGTCTGCTGCGTGTTTTGTGGTAGTAGTAGTAGTACTAGTGGCATTCATAGCAGAAGTAGAGGTAGTAGTACTAATTGTAATTTGGAAAAGTTGCAGATGACTTGTTGAGGTGGTAGTAATAGAAGTATTTGTACAATCACCCAGCTTCACAGTATGTTGATGTTTTATTGTCGTAGTGGTAGTAATTGTACTATTTGTACTTTGGAGAGGTTGCAATGATGTATTGTGGTGGAAGTGTAGTGTAACTATTGGAACCTTGGATAGGTCTTTAATGATGTGTTGTAGTACTTTACTGACGTTACTGATAGTCATCAAATCACAAAGCTCCATGGTCTGTTGTTTCAAACCTCATCAGACACTCACACTGTTGACTATCAACTCTCTAGGAAGAAATATAAAGAATCTTCCACTGTTTGTCAGACAATGTCGACTTTCACTTTTCACAATGTTTGTGCAATCTGTAAGTGAAAGTGAACAGTGTCTGACACTGTTTGTGACATCTTCCAGTGAGAATCTGTCACTTGACTTGGAAGTCAGGGAAGTCATGAAGTAGTAACGTCGGAAGTTTCATCCAGCAAGATGCTGTTCATCTGGTCATGTGACCTCTTCTGCCGTCACAGGTGGGGCGGACAGGTGAACAGTGAGCAGTGGATTGTGTGATCCTGAGGACCAAAGGGTTCACCTTTCTCTTCAAGGAGTGAGTGTTTGGATGGCTCAGTCCTAGTTGAGCAGTGGTCCTGGTGACTCTGAAGAAGGTGGAGCCTGGCGTGGAATGTCATGACTTCAAAGTTAACATGCTGTGTTTAAATTAATTTCATGCAGTAGGAGCAGGATGAGGTGGAGCTTACGGTGTGAGGAGCAGTGTTAGGGGTAGGGTTAAGGGCTTGACCAGGGTAGTTTAGTCCAACCCTTTGTGCATCTCTCAGGGCTGCGATCTGCTGCTCAGCAGCCTGAGTCTGCAGCTGGAGGCGATGAGCGTGTCCAGCCTGCAGCCCCAGGGCTTTATCCAAAACACTGACAGCTCTGTCCTTCAACTTAATCTCATCCATCTGCATATAGAGAGGTAGACACACAGGTTGGAAAGACAGACGTGTACACAGGTTAGAGACATATGGTAAGGCAGGTAGGTAGGTAAGTAGGATGTGATTAGTCAGACAGGTAAGGAACAAGGTTAGTGAGACACACAGGTGAGGGGTGGGGCTGAACACAACATTCACAAATAAATTTTCAACAAAGAAAGGCTCAATGGGGGATCTGAGCACAGTCAGACCCCACTCAAATAGAGCCAGACCCCACTAAACTAGAGCCAGACCCCACTCAACTAGAGCCAGACCCCACTCAAAGAGAGCCAGACCCCACTCAAAGAGAGCCAGACCCCACTCAAAGAGAGTCAGACCCCACTCAAAGAGAGCCAGACCCCACTCAAATAGTCAGACCCCACTCAAATAGAGTTAGACCCCACTCAAAGAGAGACAGACCCCACTCAAATAGAGCCAGACCCCACTCAAAGAGAGTCAGACCCCAATCAAAGAGAGCCAGACCCCACTCAAATAGAGCCAGACCCCACTCAACTAGCCAGACTCCACTCAAAGAGAGCCAGACCCCACTCAAAGAGAGCCAGACCCCATTCAACTAGCCAGACTCCACTCAAAGAGAGCCAGACCCCACTCAAAGAGAGCCAGACCCCATTCAACTAGAGCCAGACCCCACTCAAAGACAGCCAGACCCCACTCCACTAGACCCGAGGATAATTTGACCCAATCCAAAATGCCATCGATCCCAAAGAGTTTTAACCAGCGCCAGCAGCAGAAGCAACAACATGATTAATTCAATCAAGGTATCAAGATAATCAGGTATTTGACATATTAGACCTGCAGTAGTAAAACCAGACCCTATAAACCTGATTAGACTGAGAATAACTGGTGTTCCAGGACTGTTATTGGATCCTCAGAACCGAGTGGACCGGTGAAGACCTCTCATACTGGACAAAGCTGACTAGATATAATTCACCTTATATAAATAAATAGTCTTCCACAGTAGAGATAGTACAACTAATCACAGGACCACTGGTTCCCTCAGTCTGAAAGCTTCTCTTACAATCTGACATGTAACTGTAACATTACTTACTACTTTCCTGAAACAGCTGCTTTCTATTCCTAAAAAAAGACAGTGCTCAGTGTTTAAACACAGATATGTTCTGTATGAGGGTCCGTATGTGGTACCAGTCTGTGTAGCCAGTCTTTGTGTTCTAGTTTGTACATGGAGGTCATTGTGGATGTTATTATATTATTAATTATATATTAAAATCACTAGTTGTGACTCAGGTGTGTAAACAGTCATGAGTGACTCGTACCAGTCGGCGTATCTCCCTCTCACAGTCTCTCTTAGTCCTGTTCAGCTCCTCCTGGTGATGGTGATGAGCTGATCTCAGCTCAGCTGCTCGGGCCTGGCAGGCCTGCTGTGCTGATGTCAGAGCCTCCTCAGCGCTCCTCTTGGCTCCTCTTTGCTCCTGCACCTCCTGCTGGAGGCGGCAACGCTCCGCCTCCCAGTTCCTCCTCGCATCCTCCACCTCTGCCAGCAGAGCACTCCTCACCTGAAGAATGACAGGATGGAGACTCTGAAACATTCCTTCACACCTGAGGAGTTAAATTATTCTTCACACCTGAGGAATGAAAAGATGAGGAGTCAAATCACCTTTTGACACCATTGACCGTCACATTCCAGAGTCTGGAAAATTGTATTGGCATGAAAGGAACTGCACTAAGCTACTTTAAGTTCTATTTATCAGATCGATCTCAGTTTGTAATTGATGAAACCTCGAAGAACACCAACGTTAGTCATGGAGTTCCACAAGATTCTGTGCTTGGACCAATCTTATTCACCTTATATATGCTTTCTTTAGGCAATATTATCAGAAAACACTATAAACTTTCTTTGTTATGCAGACGATACTCAATTATATCTATCGATCAAGATGAAACCAACCAGCTCACTAAACTTCAACCAGCCTTGAGGACCTAATAACCTGGATGAGCTGCAACTTCCTGATTTAAACTCAGACAAAACTAAAGTTATTCTACTAAATATCAATTATCTAATGATGAGCAGGTAGATGTGCAGACAAACGGGTAGATGTGTATAAAGTCAGGTAGATAAGCAGACAGACAGGTGTGTATGTATACAGATAGCTAGATATGGAGACAGTGTGATGGCTAATATCCACTATGACTTATCTATCTGTTTTTATTGTCTGACCACTCAGTGTTTTGGCCATTTTTGTATTAACAAAGTTAATCAATGTCAGACATGGTCAGTAAGGGTCCTCTCAGGTTGAGTAGTATTGTGTGTGTGTGTGGGGGGGGGCTTAATCAAGGACATGACACTGTCAGCTTAGATAAGAGCTGAATGAGGGTGCAGCCATTGAACCTTTCAATGGTCAATCAAAGAATGGTCACTGTTGTCCAAATGTCTTAGTGATGAACTCCTCCTACCCCACCATGTGCTCAAGGCCTTTATAAATCGTACACAACCAACAATCTGGGTGCCTTCCTCCTTCAGACCGCATTGCACTCTGTATGATGATTGAACCTTCTCTGCGCAGAGAATAAATAGTTTAAAGACAAACTTCTTTTCTCAATGTTTCTAAATTTCAGTATCATAGGACTCACTCGGTACTATTGAATCGTTTTTTCCACCGCAACAGACAGCTTGATGAGCAGACAGACAGCTTGATGAGCAGACAGACAGCCCCTCACCTTGTCCGTGGACCCGTCCCTCAGCATCAGCACCAGGCCGTTGAGACGCTGAATCTCTCCGTCTTTGATCTTGATGACTCTCATCAGCTCCATCTCGTGTTGCCGTAGTAGCGTCTCTCTACTCACACACAGCTCCTTCTGCTTCTCTTCGTGGAGTTTGGTCTTCAGCTCCGTCACGGCAACCGTTGCCCGGTGATGCTCCGCCTTCAGCTCCTGACTCTTCTCTCTCTCCAGGCGGCTGACCTGGGATCAGTTGTACGTGAGTCGTAGTTCTTAGTGATCCCGATGCTACTCCGGGGTTTGTAGTTCTTACCTTGTTCTTTTCATGTTGTAGTTCGATCTGGATTTCCGTCAGTTTGGTTCTCAGCTCCTCATTGGCTGCTTGAAGAGTTGCCATGGCGTCAGGTCGCTCCCCCTTCCCTCGCCCCCCCGCTCCTCTCTTTGACATCACCACCACCAGCAGGCTCCGCCCCCTAAAGAGCTGTCTGTCAATCTGATGTTCGACTACATCTGGACCTGTGGACACACACAAATACACGAATACGCAAATACACAAATACACAACCTTTAATGAAGTCCAATGTGATTGGTCGAGTTCCTGGACTTGTTATCCAATAAAATACATCAAGCCAACGTTACTTTGATTACATTGTAATATCACATATTTATATGTTCTATGTTGAAGTACTCACTTCTCGTTGACAGCTATCAAACTGCATTCACTTATTTTATCTATATATATATGGGTTAGGGTTAGGGTTATATATATATATATATATATATATATATATATATACATACTATTGTAACATTAAATACTCTGAGTATTACAATACAAGTAGTACAACTATATATTCAACACTGTAGTGATGGGAATCAGGACACACACTTGGGGAAAGAGCAGTAGTATCAGAGATAGTACACATAGTGTCATTAGTAGTAGTAGCAGTAATAGTAACAGTAGCAGGAGTATGAGTAGTACTTGCATGTGTAGTTTCTGGTTGTTCTGCAGCAGTATAAGTAGTACTCGTATGTGTACTCTGTGGTTGTTCTGCAGCAGTATGAGTAGTACTTGCATGTGTGCTCTGGTTGTTCTGCAGCAGTATAAGTAGTACTCGTATGTGTATTCTGTGGTTGTTCTGCAGCAGTATGAGTAGTACTTGCATGTGTGCTCTGGATGTTCTGCAGCAGTATCATATTTATATCCCCATGAGAACACCAACAACATGCAGCGTGCACACACAC